TAAATACAAAATTTCGTTTAACTGGGAAACTAATAAAACTAGATTCTTCAAATTTTGAACAAATTATTTTAATATTCATCTGAATATTTTGTAGGAAAAAGGGCGGACTTTCATCCGGGGAGCTTGAAGCCCCCACATGAATTAAATTCGTATATCTGAGAAACTATTAGAGCTAGAATCTTCAAATTTTACATGAAGAACTTTGACATTCATGTGAACATTTAGAGAATAACGGGCGGACTTTCAATAGGGGGCTTGGCACCACATATATGAATTAAATACAAATTTTTCATAGATAGAAATTGGCGAACTTGCAATAATTTGCTTGGCATCTCTCATCTATATATATAAAAATGAGTGTGTGTTTGTTTGTATGTTTATATGTTTGTATGTTTGAACGTTATAGACTACTAAACGGCTGAACCGTTTTTATTCAAATTTTGACAGTGTATTGCTGTATGTCTGGAATAGGTAATAGGCTACTTTTTATTTTGAAATTCCAAGTGGGCGAGGAGCCACGCCTATATTAAGAAAATATTAAATACGTATATTTTAGATAATATAACAGTTAGAGTCCTCAAATTTTATCGGTGCAACTTTAGTGTCAATATAATTATTTAGGACAAGAAGTAGGCGGACTATCATTAGGGGGCGTGGCACCTCCCATATAAATTAAAAAAATAAATTAAATAAAATCTTGGAAACTATTACAGTTAGAATCTTCAAATTTTGCACGAAAAACTTTAACATCCATCTAAACATTTTGGGTAATAAATTGGCGCACTACCCATGAGGGGAGCGGCACCTCCCATATTAATTAAAGACAAAAATTCGTTTATCTGGAAAACTAATGGAACTAAATTCTTCAAATTTCGCACGAAGAACTTAAATATTCATCTGAACATTTTGGAGGAAAAAAAGCGGACTTTCAACTGGGGGGTCTTGAAGCCCCCATATGAATCAAATAGAAAAATTCGTATATCTTAGAAACTATTAGATCTAGAATCTTCAAATTTTACATGGAGAACTTTGAAATTCATGTGAACATTTAGAGCATAACGGGCGGACTTTCAATGGGTGGCTTGGCACCACATATATGAATTAAATACAAAATTTCGTGCATCTTGGAAACTCTTATATTATTCAAATTTTTTACAGATAGATAGAAATTGGCGATAGATAGATACTGCCGAACTTGCAATAATTTGCTTGACATCTTTCGTATGTAACATATAATAAATCTGGTATTTATTTATACATATTCCTTTTAGGGTAGCAAAGCACACTGGGTATAGCTAGTAGAATATAAAACTAACAAACAATACTTATATTTAGTGATGAACCATGGTCTAGATTTTTTACATACTGGCTTTTTAAAAAGCGTTATTATACCAATATGGACTTACGATTCAATAATTTTATAGACTTCTTTGGATAAATAGTGTATGCTTAACTTATTGGACGGTTATATATAAATAACAGATTGTATGTTTTCGAGCGAAACTTACGGGAATCTGTAGATAGTTCAAAACTGCGAGATATAATATATGGATATTGAAAACATGTCAACCGAGATAGACTGCTGTCTAGCTATCCATAACACTGGTAAGCCCGTAATATCACAGAATGTCCGAGCAGAAGGCTAATTCTAAGACCATATTGGACTATACGACAGCCAAAATTGAATAGTTTTCCAGTGGAAAGATCTGCTTCATATGGCTATCAATCTTTGCTACAAAGTCAGGGGAACTTAACGAATGCAAAATCATTCGACGAAACGAGAGAATACCATTCAGTTTCTTGACTAATGCAACGGGGAATAAAACCAATGAAGTATAATTGAGATGTTCGTATGACGGTACGTATTGTTTGTGGACACAGGCTCAGGTACTAAAATGAACCAATGGCAATGTTATTCCTGATATTACATTCTTTAGTGTCACCATTTGGAATCTACACTAAAGGACAACATCCACGAAAATGATTTTCTGATAATTTCTTTTGTAGATCGCTATTTTATTAAAAGGAATGCACAATAGGCCTATACATTTTCTTAAGAAAATAGGTTGTTGGAGGGAAGATAAAGGATGTAGTGTTTGGGGGCATTTGACTTAAATCTTTTTATATCGAAATTTACGGGGAATACTTCTGCAGGAAGTTGATGGAAGACGTGTTTTGTGCAATGATAATCGTGTATCGACAACTGGTTCCGCAATATCAGATGGAACACATTCCATTGTAATATCGATAGAACCACTTTGGTGAATCAATATAGTTATATACTCCTCACTTGCATGCGACAGACCCGACTAACTAACTAACTAACTAACTAACTAACTAACTAACTAACTAACTAACTAACTAACTAACTAACTAACTAACTAACTAACTAACTAACTAACTAACTAACTAACTAACTAACTAACTAACTAACTAACTAACTAACTAACTAACTAACTACTAACTAACTAACTACTAACTAACTAACTAACTAACTAACTAACTAACTAACTAACTAACTAACTAACTAACTAACTAACTAACTAACTAACTAACTAACTAACTAACTAACTAACTAACTAACTAACTAACTAACTAACTAACTACTAACTAACTAACTAACTAACTAACTAACTAACTAACTAACTAACTAACTAACTAACTAACTAACTAACTAACTAACTAACTAACTAACTACTAACTAACTAACTAACTAACTAACTAACTAACTAACTAACTAACTAACTAACTAACTAACTAACTAACTAACTAACTAACTAACTAACTAACTAACTAACTAACTAACTAACTAACTAACTAACTACTAACTACTAACTAACTAACTAACTAACTAACTAACTAACTAACTAACTAACTAACTAACTAACTAACTAACTAACTAACTAACTAACTAACTAACTAACTAACTAACTAACTAACTAACTAACTAACTAACTAACTAACTAACTAACTAACTAACTAACTAACTAACTAACTAACTAACTACTAACTAACTAACTAACTAACTAACTAACTAACTAACTAACTAACTACTAACTAACTACTAACTAAACTAACTAACTAACTAACTAACTAACTAACTACTAACTAACTAACTAACTAACTAACTAACTAACTAACTAACTAACTAACTAACTAACTAACTAACTAACTAACTAACTAACTAACTAACTAACTAACTAACTAACTAACTAACTAACTAACTAACTAACTAACTAACTAACTAACTAACTAACTAACTAACTAACTACTAACTAACTAACTAACTAACTAACTAACTAACTAACTAACTAACTAACTAACTACTAACTAACTAACTAACTAACTAACTAACTAACTAACTACTAACTAACTAACTATCTAACTAACTATCTAACTAACTATACTAACTAACTAACTAACTAACTAACTAACTAACTAACTAACTAACTAACTAACTAACTAACTAACTAACTAACTAACTAACTAACTAACTAACTAACTAACTAACTAACTAACTAACTAACTAACTAACTACTAACTAACTAACTAACTAACTAACTAACTAACTAACTAACTAACTAACTAACTAACTAACTAACTAGCTAACTAACTATCTAACTAACTATCTAACTAACTAACTAACTAACTAACTAACTAACTAACTAACTAACTAACTAACTAACTAACTAACTAACTAACTAACTAACTAACTAACTAACTAACTAACTAACTAACTAACTAACTAACTAACTAACTAACTAACTAACTAACTAACTAACTAACTAACTAACTAACTACTAACTAACTAACTAACTAACTAACTAACTAACTAACTACTAACTAACTAACTAACTAACTAACTAACTAACTAACTAACTAACTAACTAACTAACTAACTAACTAACTAACTAACTAACTAACTAACTAACTAACTAGCTAACTAACTATCTAACTAACTAACTAACTAACTAACTAACTAACTAACTAACTAACTAACTAACTAGCTAACTAACTATCTAACTAACTATCTAACTAACTAACTAACTAACTAACTAACTAACTAACTAACTAACTAACTAACTAACTAACTAACTAACTAACTAACTAACTAACTAACTAACTAACTAACTAGCTACCTAACTAACTACCTAACTAACTAACTAAATATTTGACAAGTTGACCAATGTCAAGAAAAGTATGGTAAATTATACTTTTCTTGACATTGGAAAGTGCTGAACATTTTGCAATTGTGTAATAATTATTACAGTTGTTGGTGCCTCCGTTTTATACCCTACACCGCTATATTGGAGAAGGTGTTATACGTCGCTGCTGTTTGTAACACCCGGCTCAGCATCACATTCTAAGTCGATTTATCTGTCCGTCCGTCTGTCTGTGTGTCCATATAAACCTTGTGCTCGCGCTACAGGTCGCAATTTTCAAGATAATTTGGTGAAATTTGGCACATACTCTTCTTTTGACTCAAGGTCCAAAATTTTCAAAACTTTTAAAAATAACTTCAAATTATTGCACTCTAAGTAAATATCTTTAAAATCCACCTTTATGTAAATTTACATTGGTGTTTCTGATTTAACAGAATGTGTTTGTATGTCAATGATGTATCACAGGTTGTTTTGGCGTTAGTTCAAATTGTAAATTATTTATTATTTATTTTTTTTTTTTTTTTTGTTTTTGTATTTCAAACTTTTCGTGACAAAGTTTTTATTGCAAAATTATTGAATTCAAAAATAGTAATGATGGCAAATACTTGTAAATAATTTTTTGATACTTATGATACAACGAAACACGAATAGCGAACCAAAAAGCAAACAAAAAATAGAAATAAATTTTAAATATTTAATAATACAACAACAACAACAATAATAACTAAACAATGTTAACGTTGAAAGGATTCAAAATTTGTTAAAACTAAAAACACGCCAATATTAAACTACAAAATGGTAAGATTGATAGTTGGACTAATTTACATAAAATTTTAGAACTTATTTGAATTTCAATCATTTAACAAGGCTGGCGACTGTCCTCACAGTTCTCGTTTGGAGTCAACCCTTAAACAGTGTCATGATGAGGCCACCTTAATGACCAGCACTCATGAATCGTATTTAAAGATCATAGACGATTTAAAAAATGATTTAGAGCAAATATCATGTGAGGTGATCATGGTACAAAAGGAATGCAGTGATCAAGATCAGTGTCATGCTACCGGCGATGTAGATTTGGAACTCTCTCTTAAAGAGTTAGAGACACAAAACGATCGACTAGAACAGGCTCTGAAACTAGAAACTCAAACAAGAGAAGCTGCTTTTATGGAGCTACAAACAAATGTGTGATAAACTTACAAACATACAATTTACCAACACTCGATTACTCATTTTAAAATAATGTTTTATTCTCTCTCTCTTTTTTCTCCGATCTAATCAAACTCTTTCTCTTACACATGCTTAGAATGAAACTCTCAAATGCCAAATTGCTCATTTGCAACGCACCCTCTTCGAAAGAGAACAACATATTATACAGCTGACTAGTATGCTTAAAAATGTTTCTCAAATACAATCGGCAGGACCTCATCGTTCTGCTCTAGAATATGTTACTTCGCGCAATAACTTTACCGCTGAGCTGGAAAAGAAAATTGAAGATCTAACGGAAAAGTTAGATAAATCAACGAAACAGGAGAATTTCTTGCACAGAGAAACTCGTAAACTTAATGAAGAGCTAAATGAGAGTAAACGAAAGAATGGTATATGCTGAAATAAGTGAGAAGATCGGGAAAATCTGTTTATATTTTTCTTTTGCTTTATTTTAGGCGACTTAATTTCCCAGGCTCATCATTTGGGCAATCTTTTGAAAAGTCAAGAAAGCCATCGCATGGAACTGGCGGCCAAATATGAAGCTTTAGAAAAAAATTATGAAGATCAAGCAAAAAAATTACGCACTGCCAATAATCAGCTGTTTATGTTGACCGAACGTTTTCAAACTATGGAACGGAATCAAAATGAATATAATATGGAGGTAAGTTGGAAAAATAAATCAAAGCAAAATAGTAAGACTCTGTTCCCAATATTTATAGATTGGGAATAAACAGTTCGAAATCCAAGGTTTATATGTGCCTCCGATAGGTTAGTTGTTAGTGTTCTAGTCTATTAGACAAATAACAGGAGTTTAGTATAGACAGGAATTTTCGTCATTCTTATTAAAAGACAGATTTCCATTTTAGTTGGGTTGATATTCCGATGTCTAGATTGAGGTGAATTCGATATTTAAGGCCTCCACGGCCCTCCTACATAATAGTTTGGATTCTTACCTTTAGGAGTATGACGACTTGAGTAGTAAACTTTCCAATTCTAAAGCTACTTAGATATTTACAGATAGAAAAATATAGGTCATTATAAGGGCCAGTAAAGCGGACCAGGTTCATCTATTATGGAATATTTTTAAATTTATAAATTACAAGATGAGTTCTTTTTGGCTCTGTGTTTGGTTTTATATATTAAATTTCTCATTTTCCTGAATTCTAGCGCAATTTACTACGCAATGAAGTGTTATCGCTAAAGGAAAATCACGCCTCTGCCATGGGTCATCAGAAGAGCCTGCAGGAACAATTGCTCAAAACCGAAAAAGAGCTTTATCAAGCACACGATGTCATCAAAGAGCAAAAAGCCATCATGCAACGCAATGACTTCGTCCAAAACGAAGCCCAACGAAGATTGCAAGAAACCAATGCTGAACTTAAAAGAAATTTAGCGGATCTAGTACAAGACTATAAAAAATTACAAGACGAACACGAGTGAGTTTCGTTTACACTTTTCTAATTCTAAACGAAGCAACAACACATTCAAACTAATACAGACAGTTATTCTCATATATTGCAGCAAGCAGAAAGAGATCAACCTGCAGCAGCTGAAATTACTCGAGAATTTTCGCAAATGGAAGGAACAGCAATTGAAGGCCGAACATACAACAAGAGAAAATTTTAAAATCTATCAAAAATGTTTAGAGGAAATGTTGCAGGAAAAACAGAAATTAATGAATGACTTCCATGATCTCCATAATGATTATAGTCTGCTGCAAAATGAATTGGATCGTTTTAAAGTGTCCTCATTAAAGTGGGTTGAATGCTTTTATTATTTCAATTATTTCGTTTCTAATGATCTCTTTCTTTAGCCTTTCCAACTTTAATAGACTGCATAATACTTCTGAAAGATTGGTAAGTGCCTCAAGAAAAGTGAAGAGATTGAAAAAATCAAGATCCTCAACATTTTTCTCCACCCCCTCTCCCTCTCGCTTTACTAGATTGCCGAACGTTTGGAAATTGTACGCCGCGCAACACGTCGTGTTTCGGAACAAAGTTCCTCGTTCAAAGACGAGGAACCAATTGCTTCGAGAGACGACTCAACAAGTTCTGTTTTCCGACCAAGCGAGGAACCACTCTAAAACTAACTGAAAATCTTTTTTGATTTCTTTTTCTGTACATAATATAAT